TAAGATATTTAACAAATGCACTAAAAATTACATAATTGCAAACTGAAAGTATTTCGTTACATTACCCTGCCACTAAATTTAAGAAATACGATGTAACAAGATATTTAGGTTAAGTTGCAAAGACCCTTTAGCACCAAATAACTGGGTCTTAATTTTTGCTGACAGCACACATAACATAAAGAATCAAGATCTGGCATAAAACTTCTCTACATTTAACCTTGCATGATCTGAACTTTTATTTTTAGAAACCCAGGAGACTTGAAACATTGTTTCAAACATTGTTAGAATTTGATTTTGGAAATGTTATTTTTTCAGCAGAATATTAATAAATGTTGAAACTTAGCTACTACTTAAGCAGCAAGTGAAAATCAAATTGAAATTGCTTTAGTATCTTCATTTTTGGTGATACTGGGGTATGAACTCCGGGCCTCATGTTTGCTAGGCAGTTGGTGCTCTATCACTTGAGTCACATTCCCAGTCCTTTTGGGTTTAGTTTATTGATCAGATAGGGTCTTATGCTTTTTGCCTGGGGCTAGCCTCCAAATGCAATCCTCCTACCTCTGCCTCCCACATAGCTATGCTTACTGGAGAGCTCCACCACACCCAGGTTGAGGTTGCTTTACCAAGAATCTTAACACTTAAAACTTTAAAACATACCAATTTAAGCCAGCTTCATCATTGCCATTTTAACAGAGACAAATACAGAAAATAAACAAGGTCTTAAGGAATAACTCTAATCAGGAAAGTAGCAATTTTACTGTTTTGGTCTATCAAAAGTACTTTCTGCAAAACCACTATCACTGACAGATAAGCACTGACATAACTTAATTAGTGAGTGAATGGTAGAGTAAGCTTTTTCATTGTCCCATTTTATATTTGGGATTAAATTGTTAAAATTGAAATGTGTGTATGTGTACTGACACACGTGAGCACATACTCAATGTTACTTTCCTCCTAATAATTTATCAGGGATATGTGAAACTTACAAAGGATATATCATTATCTCCAATTTATCAGGGATATATTATTATCTCTACTGTATAAACTAAAATTCTAAGAGCTTCCCATACAATTGCATATACCAAACCACAGAACAAGGGTTGCAGGACTTGGTGACACTTTGGGTTGGGAAAATGAAGAAAGCAGAAAAAGATCTTGGTTTCTAACCCTGTGTTGCTTAGCACATGATTCTTTCAGAATACAGCACTTGCTGTTTATTCCAACTGCAATTAAATTGCTTGGGTAATTTGATTCACACGGGTTCGTTCTACTCAGGACTGTCTCTTCCAGATTCAACAAAGGAGAACTGGATAAGCTTTCTGCTGTTCTTTACAGCTTCCAGAATCCATGTTCATCAAAGCCTGACTAGGTTCTATGCAGTGAAAAAGGAAGACGCAAACAGTATTGGCAGTATTGCTGGTATGTCCTCATTCTCACTGATTTTTCACTCACTTAACAATCGTTTTTCACAGTACCGCAAGGTGCCAGTCACTGTTCAGGGCTACAAAGGAATGCTCAGAAGAATTTCATACGTTTCGATGCTTAGAACCTACAAGGGTAAGTATTCATCCATTTGTTGTCAACAAGTACTTACTGAATATCAAAAACTATCTGGACATTCTGCTTGGTACTGAGAACCTAGTGGTAATTGGTTTCTTCTTCTTGCTGTGTTTAATGTCTGGCAGGAGATTAAAAATCAAATAATCACAAAATAACTACATAATCCACAGCATAAATAACAAATAGATCACTATGCAATAAAAGTATAACAAAAGTTATTGACCTTGGGAGTCTGGAAAAAAACTTTATGAGAAAATAACATTCAAATTGAGAACCATGGATTAAATGGAAGTCAATTCATTCAAAAGAATCTTCCTAGCAGAGGAAAAAACAAGCAAAGAGTATGTTTCCAGAAGGAGCACGACTTACAGACAGCTCAAAGAAGACCACTGTAGCTGAAGTGGCAAGAATGAGAAAGCAGTCCAAAACAATGCTGCTGAGAGACAAAATGAAAAGAACACCGGAGTTTCACTGTCTACTCCTAAAAGCAGTGGGAATTCACAGATGGGTGTAAAACACAGGGGATGGCATGATTCCATTTGAAATAGAGAATATTTCTCAGCAAACCTTAAGGGCAGAGGGTTGAAGAGGGGTACTTGGAGAGTAACAAGAACATTGCAGTGGTCCAGTCTGTATGAGAATCATACCATTTTAAAGTTGATGATCACAGAGATGATTTTTGAAAAAACAGATGTAGCCGAAAGAATTTCAAGAAGCAAAATTACAGGATATGAGGCATAAGGAAAATGAAGGCCAAGTAGCTTTTGGTTTGGGGCTTACAGAACTGAATGAATTGTGATGGAATTCCCTGGAGAAGGTCCAGATTCGGAAGGGGCAGAACATGAAAACAATTTTGGAAATGTTGAGCTTGATTTGCTTTTGAGGTGTTCAAGTCATGGATAGAGTGAGCAGCTGAACACTGAGACTGCAACTGTCACAGGGGATGCGAATATAAATCCTGAAGACACAGCAGAAGCTGTGGGTGTGGGCAAGGAGTTCTGGGAGGAGGATGGACAATGTGGAGAAACAGGTGGATAGAGGCCACCAGGTTTGCCAAGCAGAGGGAGCAGCTAAGAGGTAGGGCTTACCACAGAACGAAGTTGCTAACAGAAGCCCAGGAAGGAGATAAATGTCAACCAGCCAAGCATCAGTTGTCAAAGTTGCTGTGAACTCAAACAGGATGAGACATTTTAAAAAACTGCAATTCAAAAGAATTTTAAAAAATGATGACAGACAAAAGGGGGACCTGATTCTGAACAGGGAAGAGAGTTGGGGAAAAGAGGTGATTTTTCAACTGGATCTGAGGGATGAATAGGAGTTTCCCAGCAGAACACTTGAGGGTGGAAAAGCAACATTTAGAGAAAGTATAGGTATTTCTCCAGAAAAGAAGACAATGTCTGCAGAGGGCAGATGGAGGTCTCAAAACCATATCCTCACGCGTACCCTGCTTCTGCATCTTAATAGGACAAAGTAGATCCTCTTAATTATCCTTTATGTCTGTCCATAGAGCCCATAACATGTACATCTGAACACAGGGAGAAACTGAGAAATACAATATTCGCCTAAGCAACAAAAGTCGCCTAAGACTCAGGCTTGGGAAATAAAAGTTAAGGGTTCCTGATGATGTAGCACACTGAATACCAACATCAAGAATGTTAGGAGAAAAGCCATAATAGGAGCTTCAAACAGAATGTAGGAAAATTGAATGGACATGTGCATGTGTCCACACAAGATCATGGTAACTTTGCCCTCTACCCCTGTCGTTCACAGGTAGGGGGTGTGTGTGTGCCTGTGTGTGCATTAGCATATATTAATTATACAAAAGGCTGAACTTCAGTATGAAATTTCATATGTGCATATAACACACTTTGATCACATTCACCTGCTATTACCCTCACTTAGTCCCCCTCCCCTGACTCCTTCTCTTTCCCTAATGGCCCTCCTTCGATTTTCATGGTCTTCCCTCCCCCCTCGATTCCACATAAGAGAGAAAACATGCAATACTTGTCTTTCTGAGTTCAGCTTATCTCACTTAATCTGGTGATCTCCAGGTCCACCCATTTTCCTGCAAATGACATGACTTTGTTTTTCTTTATGGCTGAATAATACTCCATTATGTACATATATCACTTTTCTTCATCCATTCATCTGTCGATAGGTACCTGGGCTGACTCCATTGGCTATTGTGAATAGTGCTGGCCATCTTTTAATAGGGAAGAGGGAATCTAAGCCTGTTCAATTCCTACTTGTACAGCAAGATTAAAATTTTATACATATTTACACTGAACTGAGAACATTCTGTATGAAAATGAACAATTAATATCGGAAAAGTTGGTTTAATGCCATGCAGCAAAATTATACCCACCACTAAAATATTACAGTAATAGGAGTTACTCTGTTCACAAGATGAATCAGAAAAAGGTTTGCATCCAGCACCTCTAATTCAAAAAATAACAGCTAAGCCTTCAGAGGGTTCCTCCCTTTTAACATATTTTATCGTTTACATAATAATTATCACTGTGTTTATTCCTTTGTGAGTGTTTAAATTTAAGCCTCTTGAATGAGAAGTGAATGTCTTTGATATGCCTTGTCTTCAGTTAGCTGACACTTGGATGATAATGCGCTGACTCATAATTTGTGAATATTACTAGCTGGCGATTACACTTTCTTGGGGCTTCAGAAATAATGCGGGAATACATTTCGCTCTGAAATGGCTGTAGTTTGCAGTGGTTCCCAAGCTTGCTGGAGTTCCTAGGTGCGTTAAGAACATTAGAGAAGCTGGGCACTAGTGACTCACGTCTGTCACTACCTACTTGAAAGGTTGACATCAGCAGGATCCTGATTCAAGGGCAGTCGGGGCAGAGAAATGGGCAGACCCATTTCCAAAAGAACCAGAGCAAAAGAGACTTGAAGCATGGCTCTAGGGGTAGAGAGAGCACCTGCTTGGCAAACAGGAAGCTATGACTTCAGAAAACCCCAATCCCACAAAAAGAAACAACAGTAGGGCTAATGAATGATGTGATGGATAATTACATCCAAGAATGTTTTCTTCTGTTGGCCTCTGTCCTTTTTTCTGCCTCATCTGTGGCATATTTGTGGTCTTTGTTATAGGGTACAAGGAGGGAAGTGAGCACAGGGGCGTGGTCCTTGAAACAAAGCCTGTGGGCGTTCGTCATGTTCGACCACGCACCCCTCCCACGGAGAGCGCAGAGACGCGTCCTTTCCTCTAGGCCCCTGCCAGTGGTCACGGGTAGGGATTTTGTGGGTCTGATCGATCGGTAAGGGCGGTCTACTCTTCCTCAGCAGAGATGATGGAAACGTTTAAGGGGCGCGGCCTAACAGGAACCACAGAACTGCCGCAGGAAGGGCCCCAGGGTGCCAAGGTGACCCAGAGGGGGAGAGAGACCTATGGCCCCGCGCCCGCGGCCGCGAGGTGGTACCTGCGCCGAGTCGAGCGCCCCTGCCACCGAGTCTCCGATCCACAGATGCTCGCGGAGAAGCTGCTGGTAGCTCAGGCAGTGCTTCACGGCCGACGGCACGTTCCCCATGGCGGAACCCGGGGCGCTGCGAAAGAGCTGGGGGTGGAGGCTCCAGCCCCGAGCGCGCGCCTCCTCCCGTGCGCCGGCGGAGCGCACCGGCCCCGCTCCAAACGGCGCGCACGGCGGCCGCGCGCGCAGAGGCAAGGGCGGGGCCGCGCCCGGTCCCGCGGCAGTGCAGACGCCGGGGTGCCTTGGGCACCTGTGGCGATGCTGGGAGCCCGGATCCCCTGCGGGAACTGAGCCAGAAGCTGCTCAGTGCTGGCCACTTTTTCTCACGGTGCTTCGGGCTGACAGCACCTCCCCACGCACTGACCTGTCCTGGTTCAGAGGGAATCTAAAGGAGAGAGGACTAATTGGGTGGTAAGACTTTTTCCCTTGGCAAAAGAAAGAAAGTTGTTGAGGTAAGAAAAAGATCAAGAATGAGACAGCGATCACGGAATTCTTTTCCCGTGGAGCAACTCCATATAAAGCAAAGAGAATGTGGTGACCTTGACCTCTCACACCTGGACCAAGGATGACTAACTTGGAGAGCATACTCTGTCTGAGCTGCTAAACTGAAGTAGTGCAATTATTGTAACTTTAAAGCCCTCCAAAGCACCCAATCTCCAGTGTTTATTTGCTTAAACGTGACTGTTTTATATGTGCGTAGAAGTCAATATTTTACTGTTTTCAGCGGAGATCAGCTGTTTTCCCACTACAAATGAAATAAGTACAGTCACATTAATGTCTACTCTCATGTTTTTCTCTCTTTTACAGTTCTGTAACAGAGAACAGGATTTTTGAGAAACTTTCAAGGACTCAGTATCAACAGGAATAATTTAGCAAGGTAACTTTTGCGATGGAGGAAATCATTCAAAAAGTCAAAAAGTTTTGACAATTAACAGTGACATCAATTCTAAACTTTTAGAGATTACGACCTCTAAGATAAGCCAAATATTGTATGTTCCTGTGCTACTAGGAAAAATAATACCTGAAAATAAATCATACTACTTAATAGTATTCTAAATTGGAAAGGTCTTAAGAAATTTCAGATTCCAATTAGTTAAACATAGTAATATGGTTTTCACATAAAAACCTTATAAACATGGAAATGTTTATGACAGTTTATTTGAATGCATCTAATATGAAAAATACTGTAATCTCAAAATTTTAAACTAAAGTTCCTATAAATAACCATTATTAGCAATAAGAAAAGACAAATGTCTTAACATGGTTTAATCTGAAGAATAAGAGAGGGAGGCATTAGATCTGATTCTACCTGTAAGTAACGTTTGGTGTCAAATCATGCATACTTAGAATTATTACATTTTAAAACTTTTGCTCTAGTGGTTAATATTATTGTACACCCTTAATGTTTTTATTTACAAAGGGCTCAAGGGAGGAAAAAGATGAAGAGCAGGAGAGAGGTATCATGGGGGCTCATTTTGATAATGAATGCTCATTTTTTTAATTATTTAATTTGTTCTCCAATATCAGTTTTTAAAACATTGTATTAATAGATGACAATTATACAGGGAATTTCATTGAGACATTTCCATATATACACATGTTGTCCCCTGGTTTGATTCATCCTCTCCATTATTCTCCTTCTTTACCCCATTACCTTTCTTAAAATAACTTCAAGTTCGAGGTTCCATATTCATACATGAGTAGAAGTATTTCAGCCATGTTCCTCCACCTTTACCTTCTCTACTTACCCATCCCTCTCACCAGTGCTCTCCCCTTAACATGGCCTGTTTGACATTCCTGTTCTTCGTTGTTTAAGTGTCTGTTCTTTCTCCCGTGAGGATTTGGCCTTGATATTAGTAATGAATGCTCTTGCTATGTACTCCTTGAATTCATCCCTGTGTCTCTTCTGCTGTGGGCTTCTCTCTACTCCACTGGTCTTTGAAAGGCAACACCATAATGTGATAGAAAGACCTAAGAACTGGTTTGGGGTTACCTGTGATAGGTAACCAGGCTCCAGGGCACTGAGTGACTTGGGGAAAGTTCTTTGGCCTCTGTTTCGCTAAGGATTGCAAAAAATTAGGTGAACTAGAATATAGCAGGTGCTCGTTATGTGGTCTCTGCATCACAGTATGTATCCAATAAATGTTGACTATTATTACTCTAGTAACCAGGTTTTCTCTTATTTTGCACTCACCAATTTATGCTCTATAGTCTAGGCAGTATTTGAAAATAAACATTTGATCAACACTTCTTGTTTTAAAATTCTTAGAGGTTTTCAATAAACTTTGGAGAGAAGCTACTTTTCTTAAAATGGCACATTAAATGTTTCATACTGAGTCTCTTTGTTATCTTTCCAGCCTCAACCTCTGCCTAGTTCCTAAACTTACTCCTAACTCCAAAAAAAAAAAAATTAAATTATGTGAGATTCCCCCACTTTTGGAACTCTCTCAGGATGTCCTTCATTCTAATTCTATCCCTCATTATAGAAACCTTTTAAACCAATTCAAGTTATAATACGTATATGCGTGGATGTGTCACAAGGAAACATCTTGTATAACTATCTTAAATGAACAAAAATGTCATTTTTTTTTTTTTTTACAAAACTGAAGAACAGGAAGGTAGAACAGGTCCTATCTGGGGGGTGGGTACCAGTGGGAGGGGGAGGAGGTAGGGAAAGGGTGTGGGAGGGTGAATATGTGCAACTATTGTGTACATATGTATGTAGATGGAAAAATGAGACCTGTGGAAACTATTCCAGCAATGGGGGAAGGAGGGATAAAAGAGAATGATAGAGGGGTGAATTCAACTACGTTATATTGTAAGAATTTTTGTAAGTATCACAAATGTACCCCTAGTACACAAATGTACGCCCAGTACAGCAATAAAATAAGAAACTTTTGGAAATATAGAAGATGCATAAAGGTATCAGTGATGTCACCCATCATTCTAATTCTAAAAAGATTTCATTACAACTTCAGAGAAAACTAACAATATTTACCCGTGTGTGCCTGTTTTTTCTTCCTCTTTCATTTGGTTTAAATTTTTTAAATGTCCTTTCCTATAATTTAAATTATTTGAAAGTATGATGCTAATAACTATATAATATTCATACATACATAGTCATTATCATTTTTATTACAGTCCTTCAAATTATATCACATTGTTCAGTTTTTAAGAGAGAAGCAAGTAAGTAGCATAGGATCATATAAATGTTTGTATAAATAAATAATCTTTCTAGTAGCATGGGAGTGTAAATTTTCCATTATAATTCCATTTCTATCATTTCTATTTATCTATCTTTTAAAGTGTGAAGCACGAGAGTTTATTGAGATAGAAAAGTGTAAAGTGGGAGAGTACAGCCCCCAGGGTTGGGAGGGGAGGTCCCAAGAGAGGACGCCCCTCTATTTATATTTTTAAGGCAGTCTCCCATTCTCTATACAGTATTTTCTTATGTGGCTAGTAAGTTATCTTTGGTGAAGATTTTCTTTATCTTACTATGAGAGTCTTCTAAGGATATTGAAACATCACTAAAGAATAATTTCACCTCTGTTTCACATTTGTAATGAGCTGGTTTCGTAGCACCTGATTTATTCTTTTGTTAACATCTTAGTTTGGGTTTCCATAAGAATATTATGAATCTGGAATAAAATAAAAACTGTGCATGAGAGCACTTCTAGTTTTCTTTCAGGGATTTAATTTCTCACTCGCACATCCTTGTGAAGGTTTTCTGCTTCACATACATAAAATGAATTTTGAGACCAGTGACTCAAGCTCCTGGACAACTTAGCCATCTGCCCTCACATGACCACAGTTTTAGATGTGACTTCTCATGTGGTGTTTAAAACCTCAGCCTTTGTGCCTTCCTGTGAGCCTCTTCCCCCTGAATGTGGTTGCTTGGCCCCTGGGTAAGTCCTTGATATCAGTGTTTGAGGAAGGGAGGAGGTTCTCAGATCTGCTTAGACTTCCATATGTAACAGAATTCTGACTCAGATTGTTTGTATGATTACTGTGCTCCATATTTTTCAGCACATTCTGGGATTGTTATTGCTTCTAAAAAAAAAAGTAAAACTAGAAAACGTTTGATACTAAATTGAGCTAAGAAGGAAAGTCTAACGATTTTACAATATAATTCTGATGTCTCTACTAATCCACAACTATACAGAAAACTACCTACTGTCTACACTGACTCCCATCCTTCTCCCTACCTCTTCTTTGCCTAAAATGATCACAATAAATTGCAGAGTTCGGCACTGCTTTCATCTTAACCAAAGGCTCTCAAAACCAGAATGGGGAAAGACTTGTGTTTTAAACCAAATCTAAGTAGACTGACTATATCAATTCTATCACAGCCAGTATGTGGCTTTGAAGGATTCAGTCAAATCAGGTCAATATCTGTGAGACCCTTTAGTCTTAAAGACATCTAGATATAAGTCTCTGTGATAACAGCATGAAGAGAATCAGAAGCAAGTGAACAAATCAAAATTCTTACAGAAACAAGTGACGAAACGGCATTTAGTGAAGGAACCCACTGGGCTTGAATCAAAGACACGTGGTGAATCTCCAATAATGGTGTCACAGAGCTTTGGCAGATATCACAAGAACAATCTGTTTCAGCTTTAAACAATAAAAAAGGAAGAATGACAACAGGATGCCAGTGCTGGCTGATACTAAGCAGAAGCAACACTTTCATTTCAGTTTTATTACTAAAAATTTAGATAACTTCTCACACATGTTATGTCTGGCTGATCTAAATTTTTTTTAAATCAGTGTTTTCAAAACATGTTTTTGGCATCAGGACACTAATATGAAAACTCCATTAACAACAGCATTGTTCCGATATAGAGCTTCCTTTTGAGAATTCGTCTTATTTTACCAAAACAACATCCCGCCCCAAGTGATGGGTACCTGGCACTAAACATAAAATTCAAAACAAAGTCATAAACCACATTTCTCCAGATGTAGAAGTCTACTGATTCTATCACTAATTCAGAGGAATCCAAAAATTATTAACTTTGCCAACAGTATTGCAAAATGAAAGAGACAGACCTGATGGGCTGTTCATTAAGTATT